ACCTGAACCAAATAACTTGACTCTCAGATTCAATCCCCTAGTACACCCAGCAGGAATGGTATTTGCCAGATAAAAACTACTCTTCGGGGCCAAAAATCAGGTGAAAAACACCAGCTGAATGGGAAGAAGCCACTTCCTGGAAACAGGGAAGAAGCTAGTGTTATCTAGGAACTAATCAAAGAACTATCCTACTCCAAAGAACTATCCTACAAGCCCAAGGGAAGGGTTTGCTTCTTGGCCCGAGCATACTAGAGAGAGCAGCCAGCCGGGGGCGAACCTGTAGGCGACATCCTTGCCGGAGGAGTAGCGGTCGAGGGCCCTCACCATGCTCGCCCTCCGCTCGGCTGACCAACACCCCCCCTTGATTGCTTGGCTTGGCCAGAGCAGTGAGGGAGGAAGGCGTCTGATTTGGGATGCCGAGCAACGGTCAAGGCGGATTCGGCGTCCGCGGACCGTGCGCTGGCTCGGCTTTCCCCCTTCTTTTTTTCTTCCCTTCTTCGCAGGGAAAAATAAGAGAAGACGGGCCACACACACTATCAGACGGGACACGTCCGACGCGGCAGCAGCTGGTCTCGCGTTGATCGCAGCGGCGGTGCCGTGATTTCTGCCCTGTTCGTGATTGCGATCGTCTCGGATCCATGAAGGCGCGAACGATGATGATGGCAACTCGTTCGCTGTACGTGTCCGCGAATGGGCCACAGGGCCAATGTGTTCATTCGTGACGTTGAAGTGGACTGAACGTGAGCATGGAGGAACAGTGTTTTCAGTTAGATGTTCAAGGACACGTGTCAGTGTCACTATATTAAAGATGGACCAGCCTAATCATAGAGCCCAGCTAGACGAGGTGGACGGCAAATGACCCCCACTTGATGCGATCACCGGATTGTTCCTGTAACGGGGATGGTGATGGGGATGCTGTTTTTTTTTTCTTTTCCCTTTTTTTCCCCACGAGGACCTGTGAGTAAAGAGAAATTGTGGATATCGAAGTAGAAGTAAAGCAAGCAAGCTCCACTTCCTTCACATTTTTGGCTCAAAACGGACTACTACTCCATGTTAAATTATTTGATTTTAGAAAACGCCGTACTATTAACATGAATGCGACTCTATAAGATTTAGGTTGGAAACAATGTTTAAAAAAACTAACATACCCTATGAAAGACACTAGAGCACAACACTTGCGCCTATGATTTCAAGTTAGATCATACAGTGCAGCTTCCTGCATGTCCGGAAGTTCAGGATGTTGGCTCTGTAGTGCTGAACCTAGGAGGTGTTTGGTTCACTCCCCATCTTTTAAATCTAGTCTTATTTAGTTATTTTTATCCAAACACTATAACTCAATGGGACTAAAAAATACATTAGCCAACTAGTCATCCAAGTGTTACTAAATAGGACTAAAGCCCACCTTTTAGTCAGGCTGCCTCACATTTTAGTCACTTTGAACCCAAACACCTTAACTAAAAGGGACTAAAATGCCTCTTTTAGTCCACCAAACTAAACAGAAGGTGACTGTCGGTGTTTTGGACCGGCGGGTCCTCAACCAACGAGTAAAAATGTACTGCGTGTCCCTAATCCCAGATGATGATGCAAAGAGACACAAGGTTTATACTGGTTCAGGCAATAGGTGCCCTACGTCCAGTCTGGAGAGCGATCTTGTATTCCTTGCCGGTCCCAGGTCTGCGTGTAGTAGGGGTTTACAAGCTGAACGAGAGAGGGAGCCGGTCCCAGGTCTCTGTGAATTGCCGTGTGGGTTGCTTGAGATGCTGATCTCTTGCAGTGAAGGAGTGTGCGTGTTACAGAGTGTTGTGCGTGGCTTGCACCGGTCTCCTCCTCCCTAGAAGCGGCCCTGGTCACTCCCTTTTATAGTCGAAGGGAGGCACAGGGGCGGTACATGTATTTGCTACGTGGCGTCCTTCGGCAGGGGCGGCATGTTCGAGCCCTGTAACTTGTCACTGTGGCGGCGTGGTCGGTGGAGCGGTCTTGTCCTCCGTGCACTGGAGCGACGTGCCGGTCACGCCCGATCCTGTGCGACGTGGGAGCTCCTGTGGTGGCAGGCGCGCCTTCTTCTCTTGGAGGCGTACTGGTCATCATATGTTTGACCGGCGCGGAGTGCCGAGGCCGGGTTGATGCGATGGCGCGGGTATGCTGATTCCGGGGCTACAGGAGCTAGGCATTGTGCATGACGTGGGAGCTCCTGCAGCCTGACGCAGGGTATGGCGCGTTCTGCGGGCGACGTGTCGGTCCCAGAGCGCTGACAACGTAGAGAGCCGAGGCCCAGTCGATGCAGAGGCTGGTCCATCGTGGGGGGCTCGGCGGGCGCGAGTACCGAGGCTACAGGAGCCCTGGAAGCGGGTAGTTGAGGCTCGGAGGGAGCAGTTGGCCTTACACGTCGTTTCCGAGGCTACAGGGACCCGGACGTGACTTTCCATGTCTGAGCAGGGGTTAGGTAGCATAGCGTGGCACGGGTGTCCGTCGTGGGCACAGTGCCGAGCACAGCGGCTGGTAACCCCCGCCCCGTCCTGTCTCGAATTGCATGGGGTCGATGTGACTCCTGTCTCGTCGGCCACTCCGCTGTACCGTACCGTTGTGCGGCTGACGTCGCGGGAGTGGTTGAACGTGTTAGTTGGATGTGACGTCTCGTCAGAGAAGTCGGTCAAGGCGGCGGTGACGGAGTTGATGCCGAGCCGGCCTCGAGCGAGTCGGTAACTGGGTGCTCGTCCGAGGCCTCGTGGCGCGGGGCCTCGGGCGAGTTGGAAAATCGATAACTCGTCCGAGGCCTTGCGGTGTGGGGCTTCGGGCGAGGCGGAGAATCGGTACCTCGTCCGAGGCCTTGCGGTGTGAGGCCTCGGTCGAGCCCGGATATTTGTTCGAGGTGGGCCGGGCGGTCCAGCCGGGCCTCGGATGTGGCGGGTTTGCCTGCGGTTGTATCTTGGTTTCGTTATTTACAAGGTCTAAGCAAATTTTTTTCGGTTCTTACTTGGGGTACCTCTTTTTATGGTATCCGACGGTGACTAAACTTTAGGAGGTGTGAACCAAACACGCCCTTAGAAAGTCTGACCAAAGTTCACAATTTGACTGGGGTTTGAAAGGTTGACCACTTTTGGACATGTTCAGAACTTTCGGACATGACTGAGTAACAATCAGAATGTGGAGAAGGGATATAAATATCACTCCCTCTTCTTCTCCAACGATCAACCCTCCATTCACCTAAGTAAGTTAGACAAGAGCATATTGGAGCATTCATTCGATCATTTCCCTCTACCCTACCCTCACTTCTCTAAGGTTCCTTTAGGAGATTTGGTGAAGGAGTGAGAGCAAGTCAAATCCATCTCTTGGGCACTAGTTTTTTTTTTTTTTTTTTTTTTTTTTTTGCTAAGCCGTTAGATTTGTGTTTGTTACTTTGGAAAGTTCCCCCAAAATAGTCGTGCGTCGCTTGTGAAGCTTCCAAAGATCTGTGATGTAGCTCTGGGGAGGTTTGTATTACCTTAGCTTCCAATGGATTTCTTGAGTTTGACCTCAATGGCTCAATGGTCACTTAACAAGAAGATTCTAGCTACCATGTATTACCCCGTTTCAAAACATAAGAGTTAACCTAAGTCAAATTTCATCTAATTGAACAAAAGTTTAGAAGAAGAAAAATTAATATCTGTAATAACTAAATAAGTACACCGGCAATATATTTCATGGTGCATTTATTGTAGAATTTATCAAAGTTATATATTTTTTTTGCAGGTCTATAATAACCAGATAAGTACATTGGCAATATATTTCATGGTGCATTTATTGTAGACTTTATCAAAGTTATATTTTTTTTTTGCGAAAAAGGTTATAGAATTTGACTTAGCATAAAAAGAATAAATCCATCATTTTTTTTACGAGAAAGAGCAGTAAACTAGGACCTTGAATGCTTGGAAGTCGGAAGGAGAGTTTCAGCAAGAAACCCAAAGTACACTTACTATTCTTTACCTAGCTCATGGGAAGTTCTTGTGTTTGTAAGAGAACTTATTCGTCGTTTAGTTCTTTTATAATTTAGTCCCAAGGCACCCTCTTGTAAATTTGTAATACAAAGAATCTTTTGCCCTTTGTAATTGCACAAGCGTGGAGATCTGAGGAACTGAAAGTCGCTGACGTGTGTGCTCACTCGCCCATTGGACTCGCGTGTGTTATTCTGAATTTCTTTTTTTTTATTACTGTGGAGTTCCGGAGCGCACATGCCTTTTAAGTTTTTATTATCCCCTAGCCTACAAATTCGACTATTCAATTTTATAAGACCTGTTTCAATAGAATTTTACGAAAGTTTCATTATCAATTTAGCAAATATATTGACATGACACAATATATTAATGACGATAGCTGGTCACAATTTCATGGGACAAAATAAGTTTTATGAAGATGAAATTATTCCACACTATTTCTAACACATAGAAATATTAGAAACTAGAATATGAAACCAGACAGGCTTAAGATTGTCCCTGTCACATCGGACGGACTAAACATGAATTAATTATAAAACTAATTATACAGATGAAGACTAATTTGCGACACGAATCTATTAAGCTTAATTAATCTATCATTAGCATATGTTACTGTAGCACCACATTATCAAATCATGGACTAATTAGGACTAATAGATTCGTCTCGCAAATTAGTCTCCATCTGTATAATTATTTTTATAATTAGTCTATAGTTGATACTCTAAATTAGTTTTAAACATCCGATGTGACATGGAGTGCACTTTAATCCGAGGTATCAAAGACCCCCTTAATATACTTAATTTATTCTTTTAAGTTTCACCCTACTACTAGTAGAATGTATCTATACGTATTCCGCACTAGGCGGTATTTTGTCGGTTTACCTTTTTTTTTGAAATATTTTTGTCGTCACAGATTTCACGTCCTGGCAAGGAAACCTGCCCACACAAAGGAAAGACAGACCAGGCAACCACTCTATGATTGCTTCCTCCCCGTTCCGTCCTCCCGGCTAAAGTCTCCGACTCCGGAGAGATGGCGGCGGCGACGGAGGTGGCGCCAGTTCAGCAGCGGAGCCATGCGGCGGCAGGGTGGAGGGTGGTGGCCGGGTGGCTCGGCCTGCTCTTCCAGATCCTGCTCCGGATCATCCGCAGCACGCCCTCCTCCTGGGCGCAGCTCCTCTCCTTCGTGGGCCTGCGCCACCCGCTCCTCCCAGTCGCCGCGTCGCCTGAGGTGGCCTTCGTGCAGCTCCCATCCGAGGCCCCTGCTGACGCGTCGCCTCCGCCGCTCCGGCGGCTCACGGTACGGACCTCCATGCCTTCGGCTTGCTGGAACGTGAAATGATGGTGACTTTTGTAGTTTGGACCTTTGGAGGGCCATGGATCAGTTGGAAATTGGAACTATGGGGTTATTCGTAATAACGTAGTGCTGATTAAAGGGATATATGCTTCTGTAGCTGGACTCATGGGGCGCGGGCGATATCCAATGTAATAAAAACTGAAAACTATAGTGATCATTCCGCAGGCTTCCATCTAGTTTATTTTTGAGCTCTGGTGGTCTGGTGGCCGGTGGGTGGTATGATTTCCAGTTTCTAGGCATGACTCCTAAGTCCTAATTGAGTAATTGACTGCTTAGTACTAACATGATTCTCGGCTATAATTTTTGACATTTGCTTTCTATCTGCCTTTCTTAGTTATGGCTATTAAGTCTACTTTAATGAACTCACTGTGATACTTGCACAATCTGCAGGTGGTGCTTGACTTGGATGAGACTTTAGTTTGCGCGTACGAGTCCTCGAGCCTTCCTGCTACTCTGCGCACACAGGCTGTTGAAGCAGGATTGCATTGCTTTGACATGGAATGCGAATCGGCTGAAAAGGCAAGTAAACTGCAGTGTTGTGCATTTGCCTTATCTATTGCTGTTTTCAGTATACTTCTTAGAAAGGTACTTACAGAAGTATGTTTCGTGGTTTACAGGATCCTGATGGAAGGCAGAGGATAAATCGTGTAACTGTCTTTGAGCGTCCTGGCTTACATGAATTTTTGCAGCGAACTAGCGAATTTGCTGATCTTGTTCTCTTTACAGCTGGTTTGGAAGGTTTGATCTCCTCAACTATTTTTTTTTTCTCTTTTGACAACAAAAGGCAAGTTGATTTCACCTTATGCCACTGCCACTGATCTGTGCTCTATCCAGGCTATGCAAAACCTCTAGTTGACAGGATAGATGCTCACAACAGATTCACTCACCGTCTCTATCGGCCATCAACTGTTACTACGTAAGTTGTCATTGGCATTTCCATAAGCTATTAGTGATGGGCTATTATATTCTCAAGGTTTCTTGCTCATAAAAACTCAACTGCTTTCAGTTGGAGGCTAAGGCCCTGTTTGGCACATTGGTATAGCTTATAAGCTACTTATGACCAAAATAAGCTGAAACTTGTAGCCAAAACGGCATTGCTTTTCTGTAGCTTATTCTAGGCACACTTACTCACACTTATTCTAGCCAAAACGGCGGCTAGGTCAGACCTGCTTAGAAAGTGCTTTCCAGAGGAAGATGTACCAAACAAGGCCTAAGTCTCAAATAGAAATTTTCATCTCAAGTGTTTCATCAACAGCATATTAGCATGCAGCCCTCTGTTCAGTCCGATTGGGCAGATTTAGTTCATCTTTTATTTTATTTTTTTGTTTTTTTATTTGCTGCTGACTTCACTACCTTATGTAGTTATTTTCTTGTTCATAACCACTTTACGTGAACTGCAAATCTGGTTTACTGATGTTTCCGTGAAACTTCATATCATGTTGATTGGACAAAATACTTCATTTCAATGAGAAAGTAAGTCCTTTGTTGCATTAACCGAGCTGGTTCAGTCTTCTGATAATGTATATTTATAATTTCAGGGAATACAGAGAGCATGTAAAAGATCTTTCTTGTTTGTCCAAAGATTTCCAGAGAATTGTCCTTGTTGATAACAATCCATACAGTTTTTTACTGCAACCATTGAATGGAATACCATGTATAACATTTTCAGCTGGACAACCTGTTGACGATCAGGTAAAACTGGCTACGTACATAAATAATTCTTTGGTTCGACAGTTACAGTCTTTAGTGTTACTGATCCGTTTGCATGTTCTGACATTTTAGCTTATGGGAACGATATTTCCGCTTCTCGAGCACCTTGCTCTGCAAAAAGATGTTAGACCTGCATTGTATGAAACGTTTCACATGCCAGAGTGGTTTCAAAGACAAGGAATCCCACAAATTGAACAGGCACTTTAGGAATTGCTGCCACCACGGATTGGATTATGGAAAGGCTCAAAACCTGCTATTTTACAGTAGCATAGATACACGAATACCTTCTTCACATGTTTGAAGGGAGGGAAAGAGATAAAAAGGAATTGTAATTTAGCGCAATGATAGATCTCTATTTGTGACGTGAATCTTGTTTTATGGTTGTATAGCGCTTATTTCTGTTTTGTAAAACAGTCTGCACCTCAACCATCGCTTTATACCCACTCGCCCTGCATCCAGATATAGCAAACACCCATGAAGGTGCCACAGTGACTGCTTGGGAGTGATTGCTGGCAGTGGCAGCGCTTCGCCTGCTGCTGCTGCAACCAAGCAAGCAATCCGAGCAAGCCTAGCTCCGTTGCCCCCCGAAGGTGGGTCCGTAGACGCCAATGTCTGCTGCAACCAAGCAAGCAATCCGCAGCAAGCCTAGCTGAATTCACGTGAAAAAAATGTCCTGGAAATCATGAAATAATGATTGGTAGCACTACATGTACATCATATGTATAACGATAGTATATTTTTTGCACGGTCCATCTTCTTTCCTAAATTAACTTTCATGGCAGGCCTCTTTGTTAGGCCTTGTTTAGTTGACGATTTTTTTTTGGGAAATAGTACTGTAGCACTTTCGTTGTTATTTAACAATTAGTGTCTAATCATAGTCTAATTAGGCTTAAAAGATTCGTCTCGTGAATTTCGTCTAAACTGTATAATTAGTTTTATTTTTTATTTATATTTAATGCTTCATGCATGCATCCAAAGATTCGATGTGACGGGAAATCTTGAAAAAATTTGCAAAATTTTAGAAACTAAACAGGCACTTAGTACATCTTTGCAACTTGTCACCAATGGATTTTAGCGGAACCTTGGAACATAGCACGTGAAGGAATACAATTAAAATGATGATTGTGTGACTATTCAAACTTGAACACAAGAATTTGGTCAATTATTTGATGAATTAGATAAAGTGTGTCATAGGTCAAGAACCAGAAATTCGGTTGAGAACACATAAAGTGCATCAGATTAAATGTCAAAGGTAAATCTATGAATTCCATTTGCTATACCATGAGTTGGATAAACATCGTAGTACATGGCAACTGTACAAAAAAGAAGCAACTTTTCCCATATTTACATGCACGAACTAGCGTGTATAAACGATTGATTCACCTTGCAAAAACAGGGTTTTCAATGCCAAGTGTTGACCTAAAAAAAACTACGAAGCCAAATCCTGTTGCAAAAGGAAATATGCTGTTTCAGGAGCCAGTAGCTTCAGAAAGTGTAGCCTACTTGTCAGGAACGAGTTTGATTGGCCGTTGAACTATATTTGAACGAAAGCCATCGGTGTTGCAATGCTTCGCTGGCCGTTGGTCTCTTTCTGGGATTTATTTGCAGCAGGTAAGACAGAAAATCAACAAATTTCTTGTCTGGGCACTGCAAGTGGCGCCGCAAAGAAGATTTCTCTGGGATCAAATACTCCAACTGATCTGTCTCCTATTTTTTTAGCAGGAAATGGAATAGGAAAAATAAGCACTCAGTGCTGCATGAAAATTGCACAAAGAACAAACAACTAAAATTCTTATGCCAAAGATTCCATGGTGACAACAAACTATCGCCTTTAAAGACAAGTGTATGGCTAAATTGTCTTCTGCGCCTTAACTATGCACGGATGGAGTACAACTAACTAAATAACAGGTGGATATTAATACATATTGACAACGGACCAAGATAGAAGTAAATAGCTACATGTTCGATTGGGTATTATGTATCAAACCTGCACATACAGACCAGATTATTAGCAGATGGCGTACAATTGAGAAGAAACATTTTTTTTGAACAAATTGAGACTTCTATCGAACAGTAACTTGTTGCTATTGGTATTGTTACTTAGTACATCAGGTATTTGAGCTATCAGCTTTTACTTCTGCACTACTCAAGGTGTTGTATATGGCATAAGAAAATTTAGAATAAGTGCTTCAGCATAAATAAGCCTCTATTATTACAAAGTAATTGTACAACTGGTGGAATTTACCATTCCACTCATGTGGTTTTCAGGTCATCATGCAAAATCAACACGAACAACATCACCGATCTGTTGTCAACTACAGTGCATATTGAAACAAAGTTATGTTGATAATCTTGCATATGATCCAACAATTACCTCATTCTTGTGGAAAAGGTCATAGTCATCTGTGAAGTACTTCTGGGTCTCCTGTCCTGATGCAAGCATTTCCATATCAATTGATTAATTGTCCCAATCATACGAGCAAGAATGATTGGTACTGATTCATTAGGAAAGAGCACCTGTGACATGTCAAAGGGGCCGCAATCACATATATGATTTCTTTCAGAAAGCAGGAGAACATGGTAGCCAGTACTACTGTTAGTTTCAATAGACATGTTATCCTCAGTAAAAATAATACCAAGACAATGATTCCCATTATATGCAGTCTGAAATTGCAAGCATTTTTCAGATGTTAGTAATATAAGCTTTTGAAACCACAGGAATAAAGCCACCACCCAAGGTTAGAGTCTCCTTCAACTCGAATTTGGGTGTCCATTTCTTATTAATGCAATGCCACCTAAGGTTCAACCAACACGTCAAGCACCTACAGAGTTCCTGCATCTATTGATTTCCTCTGGATGAAATGGGTAACAAAACAAGGTAAAACAACGTAATGAGAACCTCAAATGCCAACAGTTATTTACCAGAATAAATACCAACACAATGGCAAATCAGATTCTGTTGACAGTTATTTACCACAGTAGGGTGTCCCCCTACTGCTTTCGCTTGAAAACGGCAATATTTGCAAGCTGAGCTTAAAAGACATGCACAGATTTAACTGTCAGCACAACCTTATTTGTCATTTGTTTTTTCTTGAATCATTTCAGTTGGTTCACATGTCGAGAGTTCAATATAATACCAAACAAAATAGAGAATAGGAGATCAAGATATAAACTTACTTCACCAGTGTACAGTTCAGCTAAGATGCAGCCAAGAGACCAAATGTCAATTTTCTGATCATATGGCAAACCCAGGATGACCTCAGGAGATCGGTAAGAACGTGATTGGACATATAGGTTTAAGTTGTCTGACAAGAAGCAGCTGCTTCCAAGATCAATAACTTTGATTTCACATCTGCTGTAGCTCTTCAGAAGGATATTCTCTGGTTTCAAGTCACAATGAACTATGTTTAGATGATGCAAATACACCAAAGCCTCCAAGCATTGTCGAGCTATAGCCTGAAAGCAAGACAAAAGGCTCTTATTTCAGCAGGCCTTATTTGTTTCCACCTAATAAAATTTAATCGCACTTAAAGTATTCATTCCAACCTTTTAAAATATATTGAGGTATAGATGGTCAACTAATATAAGAAAGAACTTTATTTTACAGAAGCTGGGTAATACAGGGGCAGCTGTAAATGCCTTTTCTGATTACTTGAATTAAAGTCAACTGATCCATATGACAGCTGTAAGGAGTGATTTGATCACAAAACAGTTGTATATACCTGTATTCTGGGCAATGAAAAGTACACCTCATCACCAGACTCCTGGTTATATTTCTGAAACTCATAAAGATTCGCACGTAGTAATTCAGTGACAATGAAGAGATGTTCCTGTCGAATTGTTTCACCGTCAGCATTTTGCAAGTTCAAAAATGAGCTTGGACAAATATCAAACAGGTAAATTATTGAAGTAAACGTCACAAACAGGAAACCTGTATCTTTATTTTTTAATGGATCCTTAGGACTTGGAATGAATGACCTCCTTAAGAGCAATATGACTGTTCACTGAATAAGTGAATATGTGCATCACGCACCTGATAGTAAAAATAATCATAGAGACGCAGTATATGATGGTCATCATCTGGATCATATTTATTGACAAACTTGAGAAGCTTTATCTCATCCAAACTCTGGTCAAAGAAATCCTTATCATTTGTTATTATTTTAAGGCATACATCAACTCCAGTGCGAAGGTCGTGTGCCCGTACAACCTTGCTGAATGCAGCAGAACCAAGATACTCAGTGACACGATATCTTCCAGCTATAACTGAATCCATGACAATAGGGAATTCTTTGTTTTCCTCAAAGCCAGTCCTGCAGTGAACATCTATACCATGAGCACAATATCCTTATAATTATTTGGCAGCAGAAGAAAATAAGAAAGGTTTCTGAGGGTGAACCTGTTCTTCCGGTGGAAAATTTTCAGGTCAAATACCTCATACTCCTGCTGAAACTTAGAGAGTACAGGATCAACTTTTGGGTCTTCCTGAAATTTGTGAGTAGTAGAGTTCTGAATATCTGTATCTGCAGTCTTGAAATCTTCCACCCCATAAACATCAAAAGGGACTGCACTCTCAGGAAAAGGGTGTATGCAGTAGCTATCTTTTAGAAATTCTTTGCCATCAGCATTTTCCTCATTTGTTACCATACAAACATCTAGGTCGTCATTTCCTATTAAGTCATTTTCAAGCCCACTATCTGCAAAAGATAACTAGAGTTAAAAACGAAATAATTTAATCAAGGAAAAAATATCCTTGAGGTTAGATGGGTGAACGATGAATTCCAGATAAAGGCATATGGATATAGGCTAAGAAGCAAAATTAATTTCATCATTGACATGTGGAACTGGATTCAAGCTTGCTTTGTTGCAGTAATACCCACTGGTGCAGAATTTTAGCAGCAACTCTAAACTCAGTTCACCATCACAAACATTGAACTTGATGCCAATAAAATTTAGGATATATTCTGAGAAAAGGCATTTGTGTGAAGCAAATGGTAGCCAAGGATTAGCACAAATTCCAATTACAATGTCATGAGTTCAGTTCCATCTAAATTAGCAACAGAAATGCGAGAAATGAAACTGAGAAAAAAGGAAAGAGGTCATAACTACTTACTCTCAAGAGCATCTGCATCAGCCAAGTACGGAGTAAGCATTTCAAGTTCCTTCTCCAGAGCACTAAGACCCAACCCGTCGTCCTCTCCTTTCTT